TTATTTTTATAGTATTTAAAGTTATTTTATAAGTTTTTATATAGTAGTAGTTTATTATTATATAAGGTTTTTTAAGTTTATAAGTTTTACTAAGGCGGCGTTTTTTTATTATACTGTAGTAAGGTTTTCGTAAGTTTTATTAGGGTTAATATTTTATATTTAGTTAATTATTATATTTTATTACCTATAGGTCTAAGGTAACTGTTTAAATAAAAGTTATTATTATATAATAAACTAGGTCCTATAGGTACTATAGGTTAGCTGTTTTTAAAGGATAAACCTTAAAGTAGTTCTATAGTTTATATTAGCGGAGTAATTAAGTTAGTAAATAAGTAATTTTATTACTAGTTAATAATATAAATAAAAGTAGATATCTAAGTTTTAATTTAATTATATTATAAACGCTGTAATAATAATTAGTTATCTAAGTATTTTAATAAGTAATATAAAGTAAACTTATATATTTAGTTATATATTCTAGATTATATTAGAAAGCTGGTTTTCCTAGCTTTCCTATAGTAGATTATTTAAAAAGCTAGCTTTTCTAGCTTTTCTATTAGGGAATGCTAATAGTCCTGATTAGTCTGTCGGTCTATAGTTAATCCAGTTCCAGCCAACCTGTTGGTTTATTATCGCAACCTTAAGAGTCGGGTTGTGATAGGTTTATTAATAAAGTAGTATTTAAAAGGCTATTATAGTCTTTGTTTATTTTAAAGTTATATATATAGTAATTATTATTAAAAGGTTTATAAAACCTATAAAACTTATATAACTTATTTATAAATAGTTTATAGTCTTTATATTATATAAAATATATATATATTTAGGAAAGTATTAATCTATTATTAATACTTTCTATTAACTTTATAAAAACTAAAGTTATAGATTCTTTTACTATTATTATAGGTAATATTATTTTTACTATTATCTTCCTTATTTAAAAATTCCTATTTTTAAAATACCTTTTCCTTATCCTTAGATTTATTATTTAGTTTTTATTTATTAAGGCTTTATTAAATAAGTTATTTAATATAGCTAAGGTCTTCTTAAGTAACTTCTTTAAGTATATTTAAGGTTTAAGTATACCCCTTAGGGTATTTTTAAAACCTTATTTATTACTATAATATATTTAATAATTATTATTATAATATATTAAAAAATATAATATATTATAATTTACTAAGGGTTTTATAATATTAATAGCTTAGTTTTCCTTAGGTTTTAAAATAAATATAAACTTTTTATTATTATCCTTCTTAAGTACTTAGTAATATTTTTTTATATATATATTTTTTTTTTATAATTATAATATTTAATATTTTTTTATTATACCTTAATAATACTAAAGTTTATTAACTTTAGTTATTTATTATTAAAAAAAAATAATATAATTATTTTACTTTTTTCCTTAGTTAACTTAGTATTCTTAAGTTTATTTAAGCTAAATATTATAAAAGTTTTTAATTTTTTTTTACTTTTATTTCTTTTATTATTTTTAATTATAATTATTAATTTTAATAGCTTTTTAAATATAGTTAATAAAAGTTATTTTTTTATAGTTAATTTTAAAAAGTTTATCTTTAACTTTAGGTTTTATACTATTATAGTAAACTTCTTTTTTTATTTCCTTAGTTTAGTTAACTTTAGTTAATAAGCATAGGAAAGTTAAAGTATACTTACTTAATAGTCTTTTTTAAGTAATAAAATAAAGTTTTTATTTAGCTTTTTATTATTTATTTATAATATTAAAAAGCTTTTTAAATTACTTTTAAAATTCTATATACTTAATATAAATTTCTTTAGTTTATATTTTAAGCTTTCTTAAATTAATTTTTCTTTTTTTATAATTTTATATAATAAGTTAAAACTATATTTTAATATTTTTTATAAAGTAGCTGCTTATAAAAATAACTTTATCTTTATTACTTTTTAAAGTATAAGGGAAGTATTTAAAATAGGTTATAAGTTTTAAAAAAAATTTATTTATTTTATATAAATCTTTATTAAAGGGTTTAGGCTTTATTAATTTAAGAACCTTACCCTTTTCCTTTTTTTTATTTTAAAGATTTTAAAACTATATTTTAAAAGCTTTAAATTTAACCTTTAGTTTATTATAGTTAGCTTAATTAATTATATTTTTAATTAGTATATTTTTAAGCTTAATATTACTATTATAATTATTTTAAACTTTACTTTTATAATTAGTATTATTATTTAAAACTTTAAAGCTTATAGGCTACTAAATTCTTAGTATTTTATTACCTATAGGTTTAAGGTAACTATTTAAATAAAAGTTATTATTATATAATAAACTAAGTCTTATAGATAAGTATAAGTTAGTTATTTTTAAAAAATAAACCTTAAAGTAGTTTTATAATTTATATTAGTAAAGTAGTTAAGTTAGTAAATAGGTAATTTTATTACTAACTATAAAGTAAAGTATTTAAATATTTAATTTAATTACTATAGTATAATAATAACTAGCTATTTAAGTATTTTAATAAATAATATAAAGTAAACTTATATACCTAGTTAGCTAGGCTAAATTATTAAAGAATTTAATGATCCTATCTTAGATTATTAAAATTTCTAATAATCTAACTTATAGATTATTAAATTATTAAATAATTTAATAATCTATGTCTAATTAGTTAATTAGTCCGACGTTTATCTGTGACCGTCTAACCTATAGGCCTATTATCGCAACCATAAGATCCGGGTCGTAACACCCGCTATATAATCTTTTTCACTTGGTTCAAGATTACTTATAGTCTATACGGCTGTATCAGGGATTATAGTCATATTCGTGAAGCCAGAGTACAGGTAGCACGAGTACTACTCGCACGGATAGAAGTCTCCAAGTAGCCAGCACATGTTCTTAGCATATGAAACCTCCTGATCTTCTACTCTGCTTGCCATTGAATTGGCAAGTTGGATGCCCATATAAGACCCAATATCGCGCAGCATATTTGCAATCCAACTTTTCTGGCTGGATGCAACCGCTGTTGAGGAACCGGCGTGAAACAGAGGCCATAGTAGCAAGTAGCCCCCAGGTGCAGGCAGCCCACTGGTTTTTCCATCTCCTGTATTAGACCCAGGGCTAGATTGTGATCCAATTCCGCGATACCCCAAGACATAAGGAATACTGTAGCAAATGTCGTTTGCTAGCCTTTTCAAGACTCGCATCGAGTGCTGGGCAGACTTTTGATCCATTTCCAAGCCACATTTTCTTGTCGCAATCATTACTGTCTCATGAATCGTAATACGAATCATCCTCAAGTTGTTCCAGGTAGACGCAACCCACATACCTTCGTAGGTGTGATACTCGTTTTCATAAACTGTTTTGGAACTAGTATTTCCGTCAAGCAGTCTGTAAGATTTTATTTGCCATGAGTCAGGTAACCCAAGGCTCCAGTCTTCAAGCATATGATCTATCGGAAGAAGCAGCCGAGCTATCTCTTTTGGGTCGCGTATTTTGGATCGCTTAATGCTTGCTCGAGCAGCCGCGAGGCGCCCATTCAGCTCAGTGAAGCGGTTGAGCAAAGACTCATCATTCTTTCCTGTAGGATCTGACCACCGAGACCACTCTTCTAGCGCATGTGGCATAGGCTCCTGTAATTGATGGCATATTATTGCCTTGTTCTAGTTAGTAGTAGTTATGATAGCCAAGGTATTTCAACATAAAGGAATAGTCTTACAACAAGGCGCCATAGCTCCGTAAAGAGCGCGGCGGATACGGCATTACGGAATTGAGATTACCCACGTATCTGAACACAATGTCCAGCAGCAAAAATGTGGTTAGTATACGAGCCCATGGCACGAAGATTCGTATTTGCAATAACCTAAAATATTTTGTCAGTCTCCGTCAAAACCAATGGGTCTATTAGCGGTGCCCATCGTTTTACCTGCCTCAAAGGTACCCATAAGAAGAATTGCCGCCAATGTTGCATCTGATTTCACTTTTTTTGGATCCTGAAGATCTGTCTGCAATTGCCGGATAGATTTGCCGTAGAGGCGGTATGCTTCCTCCTTCAGCGGACCCGAAGCTCGAGAATTTGACAAGGCCGCATGTCCTGAGGCACAGATGATGGTGTTAAGAAGCCCCGTAGGTCCCTCATGTCGAAGCAGACAAGGAAGATACTGAAGCACTCCCTGTGGGAAATTCTTATCGGACCAGAGTGTATTCCCGAGGACGTAATGATAAAGGAAGAAACACATTGCACGGTCAGAGAGTGGCGACGATAAGGTGATTAGGCGATTGCTAGACCCCAAGCTGAATCGCCTTCCATGTTGGATGCGTAGAGAAGTTCCGGCGCTGTCGGGCTTGGTTGATATTCTAGGATAGAGGAAAACGACATCGACTTTGGTCTGGTCCTTGGGCCCTGGACATGCCCAGCCAGACCTTTTACATTAAGAACAAGTCGGTTGTAGTTAGTCGCACTTCTACCGTTAGCGATGCACGTTGTTTTAGCTGCATAAGATGATCCATATCCACACGCATCCAGCTGTCCACCGAACCTTTAATACCACCGGTTACGTACCTTGATCTTGCGTTTCTTACAAACGGCACAACCCATGCCACGTCGCGCTGTGCTTTTCATCATTGGTGGCATTCTTATAGTTGCTAATTAAGCTCTGTATTTCGTGGGTAGAATTGCATTCGAAAGATTATAAAGCCTATCTGCTCCTCTCGAACAGCCACCATAACAAAGAACAATTACTGCGCCAATAGGCTTACTCCTTAGCAGGTATATATTTAGGAAAGCCGCGGGCCTTCAGTCTTGATTAGTCCTTCGGGCTATACTTAATCCGTAGGTACGATTTTTATGACGACTTCTTAGACGGGTCGTAACGTATAGCACTACTTTTCTACAAAGTCATAAAAGTTAATAGCCAGCCCGATATTTATTTAGAAGAAAGTAGAAATCCGGCCGAAGCATTCAATCAGGTATTTATTTTTAGGTTTCACAGTTCTCATTAATAGTCAAAGTCTTCTGTTAGAGTTTTACAAATAGCTTACAGTATATTACAAAGCTTCCACTAGCTCCCGAAGAGTCCCTAAACTCAGCTGCCTAGCTGTCACGACCTGGATCTTATGGTCGCGACAATGGGCCTACAGGGTAGCCGGTCACGGATAAATGTCGGACCGACTGACCAATCAGACACGGATCATTAGATCATTTAATGATCCAATGATCCATGAACCGGATCATTAGAACTTCTAATGATCTACGACAGGATCATCAAATCCTTCAATAATCCAACCCAGCCAACTGGGTATATAAGTTCACTTTATGTCACTCATTAGAATACTTAGATAGCCAGTTGTTATCGACACATTGCAATCAGATTGAACATTCAGACACTTCATTCACAGCTAGTGACAAGATTGCCCGTTTACCGACCTGACCGTTCCGCCAACATAAACCTTAGAACCATCGAAGGTTTGTCCCTTGGGAACAGCTAACCTATAGTGCCTATAGGACCCGGTTCGTCACACTAGCCCCTTTATTATATAGCTACAACTACTACTAAATTAACTAGTTATATAAGATATCTAACATAATCCATAAGCATATAAACTACTTTTATAATTTTATTTATATGAAGGTTATATTTATAATGAAGATAGGAGAGTGAGTAAAGTTATATTAGAAACCATTGTTTTAGCAGATGTTTGTTAAGACGATATCAACACCTCGACATACCGGTAGCAATGAACTTCTATACCGAGAGGACTAAGCAGTCCAAAAGACTAATCAACGCATTTCACACGTTGTCTCGCCTCTGGACGCGATAATCTAATAAGGAATAGCCAGCGGCTCGCCTTAGCTTTATATAATAGTATAGTAAAAGTATAGGATGTAAGCTTAGGCGCCTGTCTATAGACTCTTAAGGGCTATAATAACTCGGTAAGCTTTGTAGTTTTTTTACCCGATGGCCAGCGGCTTGCCTTAGCTTTACATAATAGCATAGTAAAAGTATAAGATGTAAGCTTAAGCGCCTGTCTGTAGACTCTTAAGGGCTATAATAACTTAGTAAGCTTCGTGGTCTTCTTACCGGATGGCCAGCGGCTTACCTTAGCTTTATATAATAGGACAGTGAAAGTATGGGATGTAAGCTTAGGCATCTGTCTGCAGACTCTTAAGGGCCGTAATAGCGGAGTCCGCGGGGTAACCTCAGTGGTTTTCTTGCCTAATGGCCAGCGGCTTGCCTTAGCTTTACGTAATAGCATAGTAAAAGTATAGGATGTAAGCTTAGGCGCCTGTCTGTAGACTCTTAAGGGCTATAATAACTTAGTAAGCTCCGTGGTCTTCTCCCCTGATAGCCAGCGGCTTACCTTAGCTTTACATAATAGGACAGTAAGAGTATAGGATGTAAGCTTAGGTGCCTGTTTACAGACTGTTTATGCTGGTCAGTCTATACATTATGCTAAATTCGATGTAACGGATAATTCGCATTTTATTACTGATATTGGAAACCTAAGACTTGATGCGTCTTGTATAAAAATGCTAAATAATGCATTATTACGAAATACGGACTATTATGACTACGGTATAAGCTCTAATAAAGTATAGATTACAAAAGATAATAAGCTTCTAGTTTAGCTGCCTTTAGAGTATCGACCAACTGTATCAGCCGTGTTTAGAGCTATAGTTGTTATTGGGTGTAGATTAGGTTGGGTATTAGTAATGCAGTTTTCTATAGACTAGGCTAGTTAAAAATGAAATCAGTTTATTTCTATCGTCGCGACCTAACACATAGCCACTAAGGAAGAGTGCATATAAGAAGAGCTTATATAATAGGATAGTTAAAACGAAGTCGGTTCTAGTATACTTAATCAGTCGGATAACTACGGCTCATCCAAAGATAAAGCCTTAAGGGGTGCGTAAGATAACATACCCTATAATCTAGGTATATATATTTTAATAACTTTATATTAGAGGGTTAAAGGGGTATTTTATAATATATAATATTTAATTCAAAATCTAATAGGGCCTAGGTAGGACTGTATCGCTACTTTTATTATACTGTAAATCAGCTGATAAGGTAATAGCAATAGTAGCCGCAACCAGGCGCCCAAAATAGCACTTTATCTAAAAAACGGACGGAACTCTTAGGACCACTATAAAACAAAAGGTGTTAATAAGAGGAAGTTTACGTTATACTAGCCACAGGCGCAAAGTAGCCCGTGCAAGGAGAAACTTTATATTAAAAAAAGCGGACACTTATTTCGGGCTGTAATGTTTCAGTTGCCCTTAAATTTACTAATAATAGTAATTTCAAGCTCCTTTCGCTCGATCCTTAACAGCTTAGGTGCCATCTATAGAGGATAGCAAGGCCAAGGCTGCCAATAGTAAATCTCCACGTTATACACCATATTTAGCACACGGCAAAACTTAACTCCGGAAGTCCTGTTCTAGACGTTAGAAGTATACAGTATAAATTTACTTAGATATTAATACCGTATAGGTCTTGCAAATTACCTTAAAAAGGTATAGGCAAAAGGAAGCAACATTTGCATAGAACAATAGTCTATTTTATACAATATATAATAAAATTATCACAATTTAAGTTTTATAGTTGTAATATATAAGTAACTAATCTAAGAACAGCTATCTAGATAATTACTTTTAAAACCATTTTTTATTCTACTTTCTCCTACCTTATACTAAAGCTTCTTAGTTTATATTATTAGGAAAGCGTTATATAAGGAGAGGCTAAATATTATATTATCTCGTGTAGTATTACTTAAATTCATACTTAAGTATATAAAACTTAAGTATTACTAAACTCAAAGACTTTTTAAATTTATCCTCTATTTAGATAAATCTTTCTAGTTTAGTACGTAAATACTTGTTAAAGGGGTAGTTTATTAAGTAGGCGTTTGGATCTAAAAGGAACTATATATTTAAGTACTTTAGAGGAAGGCTAGCTGCGTAGGCTACTAGTGTATTACGTATATAATCTTTAATAGATTAGGTATAAGTAGGATGCTAAAGTCGTCTAGTTATTTATACTTACCCTTTACCTAAGGCCAGTATTTGCTAAGACTTTCTTTATATTCTTAAAATCTAGGAGAAGATAACCCCTTTATATAATTAGGTTGCAGCTGCCTCTTAGACCTTTTATTAATTAAGTAGTAATAGCTTCTTAGAAATGCTTAAAAATAAATTGTAATGAACCAGGTCCTATAGGTACTATAGGTTAGCTGTTTCCAAGGGATAAACCTTAGAGTGGTTCTATGGTTTATATTAGCGGAGCGGTTAAGTCGGTAAATAGGTAAACTAGTTACTAGCTAGTAATATAATAAGAATAGATATTTATGTTTTAATTTAATTATATTATAAATACTGTAATAATAACTAGCTATCTAAGTATTTTAATAAGTAATATAAAGTAAACTTATATATTTAATTATATATTTTAGATTATATAAAAAGCTAGTTTTTTTAGCTTTTCTATAATAAATTATTTAAAAAGCTAGCTTTCCTAGCTTTCTTAGTTAAGGAGTACTATTAATCTTAATTAGTTTATTAGTCTATAGTTAATTTAGTTTAGGCTAACCTATTAGCCTATTATTATAATCTTAAGAGCTAGGTTGTAATATAATTCTCCCCTTCTTATTAATCTTATCCTTAAGACCTAATTAAAGTAGTATATAAGTATTTACTCTTATTCTATTAGTAAATATTATAATCCTTTTTTTATTTACTTTATTTTTTTATTCTTTTATTATAATTAATTATAAGCGTTAGTATAATAATAAATCTATTTTTAAGTAAACAAAAGAAAAGTATAAAAGCTTTACTAATACTATACTAAAGAATTTTATTTTTATTATAAAATTATATATTTACTATAAAAAGTAAGGCTATAATTATATTACTTTAGAAGAAGATTCCTATTAATATCTTTCTTATATTTAAAATTAAAAATCTTATTATAAAGTATTTAGTCTTACTTTATAGTAAATATATAAGGTAATAACTTATTATTTAAAATTAAATAAAAAGTTAAAGAAAGTAAAAGAGGTATAGCTTAAGGCTAGTGTTTAAGTAAAATATCTTTATATTTAGAAATATAAGTAGTTAAAGTAGATAAAGTAGGCTATTACTTATAGTATTAATAATTTAAAGGAATTAAAATATATTAAGTAAAAGAAGTAAAAGGTTTAGAAAGTAAAGGCTGCTTATTAAGCTGTAATATTATTACTTAATTTAACTAATTCTGTAATTATAGATTCTATAGTTAATATTATTAATTAAGATATTTTTAACCTTTTTTTACTAAACCTAGACTTTAGTAAAAGTTATTTATAAAGTTTTTTAAGTATTTAAGGTCTTTAATAATTTATTATAATTTTTCTATTTTATTATAGCTTTTTCTTTTTACTAAATATTTAATTTATTAAGTATTTTTATTAAATTTTATTATTTTAAGCTTTTTAACTTTATATTTAAGTTCTTTACCTTAAATAATAATTTTATTTTATATAACTTTATTTATTTTTTTATTTATTAATACTTTTTTTAATAGTAAAATATAAAAATTTAAATATATAGTTTTTTTTTATTTCCCTAGGGTAAGTAAAAGATCTATTTTATAATTAATAAGTCTAATTTTTTTTATAACTTTATAAAGTTTAAGTTTTTTAAAATTAAGTTTATTACTTAGCCTATTTATTTTAATATTTAGCTATTTATTATTTTATAAATGTTAAAGTAGGTAGATTATATTTCCCTTTTTAAAAATTAATTTTTTAATTTTTTTTATATTTATAAATTTAGTTATTTATTATTTAATAAATTTAAATTATATTTATAATTCTTAATATAATTCTTTAAGTTTATTAACTATAATAATAGCTTTACTAGTATTTTCTTTTTTAATAAATAGCTAATGTAAATTTAATTTAAACCTATAGTTTATATAAAATAGTAAGTAGTTTATAGATTTTACTAATATACTATTATAAAATACTTAGGTAGTTAATAAGTATTTTACTTAATTATTTTAGTTAAAGTTAATATAATATTATAAGTAAATTTTAATAATTTAATTAATTTATTTTATTTATTTATTTATTTATAAGTAGTAAGCTATATTAGCTTTATATTTTAGTTTAATTTATACTATAAGTAATTACTAAAATTTTAATATAAACGTTAATCTTTTATTAAAGATAATTTTATTTAGTAGTTTATAGTTTACGTAAATATATTAAAAAAATATATAAGCTAAGTTTTTTATAAAGTTTTTTTTTATTACTAAAATAAAGTAGGCTATTTTTAAAAGTTAATTAACTATTATAAAAATACTATT